ATTTTAAATTCCATTCTCCTGATTACTCTCTATCCTATTTATTTTCTCTTATTTTCCCGGTACGCAAATACTTTTCTGTTCAAGTATTAGGACATTTTAATAACCAAAATGAAAGGGTTTGAGAGATATTTCAAAAACTTAAAATGAGCACATTTGTGCTTTGGACAAATCTGTCATATCTCTTACCAACAGTTTTTCCTTGTATTAAAGTTAAGCTGCTTGATTTCAATACAAAGGCCTGAAAGCTTAAACAGTATGAGGAGAATGTTTGGAGTTGAAAGTTAAAGTGGACCTATTATGCTATATTGGAAAATATATTGTAGGGCCAAGTTTTTTGCTTAAAATACCAAACAGTTCACCCATTGTAGCCATGCCTCATACTGCTCATATCCCTCTTTTGCAGCCCTGTTAGAGAAACGCGGATTTTGGGTCCTTAGCTTGAAAAAAAAAAAGAGGAGGCGGAGCTAATGCCTGATCAGAATTCTACTGGAGATAAAGTTAAATTCTGCTGTGATAAAATGCCATCCTGTTCTAAACCACATCAAAGATTATTTCTGAAACTGTATGGAGCTCAAATGCTTTTTCTCTTGCGGGTTTATCACAAGGTGAGTTCTTTTTTTCATTTCCTGCTTTTTAAACACATGTGCTCTACAGTATAGGTTAGCTCTGAGTGTTAGCGAGGCTTGCTAATGTAAACAAAGACGAGATTACGTCCAAAACACGTCAGGCATTGTTTCTGATGGCAACTTTCTGTGGGTCTGCTGCCGATATTACGTCATATCGGCAGCAAATCTGTATCTGCTCGTTGTACCCCCGTTTTTAAAAGATTTGGGTACGGAGGCAAAGAGAAAGGGTTTTATTTTCTGATGTTGAGTGAGTTCCCTGACGCACCGGGGACACATATTTATGTATAAAAGACATCACAAAGTGCATTTTGCATGATACGTCCCCTTTTTTTTCCTTCAACTAATATTCCAAGTTCAGCAGAAGAAAACACTTAACACCAGTTCATCACCTGCCATCCATTAGATTATCTTCAGCTAATTTATATCTGTATTAGCAATTAACACCTTGCTCAGATGCAAAATTGTGCAACCTGATGCCAACTGTAGTGGGCTCAGCCAATGTGCCCCAAAGAGGAATGGTCATCTGCAAGAATAAACAGCAGCTTTCAGTTCTGAGAGCAGTTTGTATGTGAGGTCCGTGTCATTGCTTAGTATTCTGCCCCGACTCCTTCAATATGTATCCTGTCACTCTACTTCAACATTTCCAATTCAGTACAGTGACATTTAGAAATGTCTTAAGTAGTAAGCAGCAGACACACAAACAGGCCAGAAACAAAGTTTGATCGTGTTTGCCCTTGCCCCTTGTGATGGACACAGTCAAAGACATTCAGAAATGCAATATAAAATACTTTCTCTCAACGGGCAATTCAAGACAAGCAAGAGTCCAGGCAGAAATTTTAAAAGAATGATTCATTTACACAATATATAACACAGTTCAAATTGTAAAAGCTCGAATGCATTATTCATTCTAAAGGTGAAGTTACCACTTTGACTGTTCACAAGTCTTATAGCTTCTGAAATAAAACTCTTATTTTACCATTAAGCTGTATTAGTAATCAATTTGTTAAGAAATTGAGGGCTAAGATTAGCAAAACCTTGCTTTTCCTTTTGGCAAAGGGATCGAAAACACTATATGAATGAAAAAAAAGTTAAGGTTTTTTCAATATAACAAGAAATAAAACGTCTTTATCTAATAAGATATAAGCTTTTCTTGTACTACATGAGAAATAATTGTATTAAAAGCTGACGAGAGCAACGAAAAGTACTATTAGAATTGTGTGTTTGTTATTGTTCTAAATACTTGTGTACAGAGTTCAACATCTGAAGCTTTGTCGTCAAGACCTCTCCCAGGCTTATGCACAAACTACAGGGGGTCGAGTACTGGCCCAGTTACATGCACAGTTTGTGAGAGAGAGCATGCAATGAAACTGCAGAACGAGGGCTGCTGGAGACAGATACAAACTGAAAAAGAGGTAATTCTGGTTAGGGGAGAGAATATGAGAATGAAAAAAATAAGAGAGGAAGAGGATCAAGGTGGAAAAGGAGAGGAGGATTAAAAATGTCAATATGGTCAATGAGGCTTAGTTTGGATTCACACCAAATCAGGCGTTGCGAAGAAAACGCTAGTAGTCCATTTCATTTGATCGCCTGCAGTGTGTTTAGGTTGCTGCGGTCGGGACGGCAGGGGATGGCAATTAAAAACCCTACAGCTAAAGGTTGAAACAGTACCAACTTTTGGAGGAATGCGACACAAAGTCAGGCTGCATTGGCTAATAATGGAACCCGGAGACTCCCATGGGAAGAAGAACATTGTTTACCTTGTCTGTCTTGCAGTCTTTGCTGCACAATAGCTAAACCAAGAAGTTCATTTGATTTGTGGACATTTGTTAGAGCTTGGGGACAGGAAATGGAGGGAAAGTACCGGGCTAGATTTCTATTTCTTTTCTTTTCTTTTGATGTTTAAAGGCGTTTGGCAGACTGCTTTATGATCCATTGTCACCATTGTCTCAGTTAAATGGTTAAAGTTCACAAGGATGGGCCATTTGAACAACACAACCTTTCGCTACATGCAGCCTGATGGCTAAAAAACACTAACACTTTTTGTATTGCTTTCTTTTTCTGTCCCTCAGGTTTTCTGCAGAACAGGAATCCAGACTTCAGGCCAGAGTACCACAACCTGGTACGAAATTACAAGATGATTTAGAAAACTTCATTACTTTGCTCGGAGGATTGCTTTGTGCCTTAGGAGTCCAGGTTTCAGAGGAACGAGCACACATCAAATGTAATTGCAGCAGAACGACAGCAGTGTTTGTCAGCAGGTGAGTTAAGCAGGTGTTTTTTTGGCATCACATGAACATGTGCAGGGCACACAGCTGGCAGAAAGTGAGCACCGCAGGGGTTTTACCCTGGGATTACAGTTTAGCAGGTTAGAGCTAAGCAGGAGTCACCTCAATCTCATCAGCCTCATGAAATGTACGCTTCCAGCCAAACACACACACACCGGCACAGCTGTAGAACACAATACAATTTGTGCAACTGGCAGACGGTGCGCTTCCCTAGCTTAACACCATACACACATTAAGTCACACACACACACACACACAAACACTGCAATGCAGGACAGAGGCTTCCCCCTCCTTTCATCCGGTCGCCCTCGCAAAGCCAGCTGTAGAGAAAATTAGATTTTGGGCTGATTGGTTTTGTCTTCTTTTTTTTTCGCAGCCTCTGCACATCACTACTTCCACCACTTTCGCCTTCCCTTGGTGCAGCTTCATCCCTGGATAAACCATCGTGATAGAAAACTTTCCGTTGGAGGGACATCAGACACTCTGCTTGTCTTGCTTTGATTACTCCTCCGAACGTTCTATTTGACTTTAAGCTTTGAGTTTGATTGTTTTTTCATCTCTATGGGTACAGAGAAGAGTAAAAAGTGGTTTTTCGTGATTTCTTGATACTATCACAGCCAGGCTTGGCAGAACCTCTCATAGAAGTGACATCTAGAAGAAGATGGCATTGAATGCTAAGCAGTAGCAGAGTTTTTTTTCATCTCTTTACGATGCTTAACATTTTTATCCAAACTTTAAAAAACTTTGTCTGAGGGAAGTGAGAAGAAGAACGTCATCAGAGGAGTGTTTCACAAAGAAGCTCTTTGTGAAAAGGGAGGGTTCAAACAGAAGACGAGAGACCTTGATACGTAGATAAACTAGGTGAAATGAACCTCGAGAGAAAAGCAAAACTCTAAGGCAAAGAGCAAAGAGAATACAGAGAAAGCGGCAGATAACAGAGGCACTGAGCAGCGGAGGTGAAAAGAGAGGAAGATGGGTATCTTTTTGGTCTAGCATGGCTAAAGACGTGATGGAACACCCTTCAGGCCCGACCTCCTCCCTTCTCCTGCTCCTCCTCCCATCTTCCCTCCCTCTCTACGCTGCTCTCAACTAGGCTGCCAGCTTTTCTTTGGCTACGTCGCTTCATTGCAACGAGTGAGACGGAAAAAGAGAGAAAGCGCCGGAGCCGAGCTCAACATTCACACAGATGGCAGAACAAACGAGAGGGACCTGCTGCATCCGTCCACACCGTGCACTGGATTTCACTAAAGATGGACTAATCCCAAGATTAAGGAGGGAAAAGAGAGAGGTGGATGTAAAGAAAGCGGGAACAAGAGAAGTTAGGAAGTAAAGACAGAGGGAATTAACATAGAATAGAAGCTCAAGGAGACTTCTCCTCTCATTGAGAGCAAGGGAAGCAGTCGGGCTACGGCTGTGTGTGTTTGTCGAGGCATTTCTGTGCAAGAGGCAAGCTGTGAAGAGAGAGGGAGAGAATCCTGTGGGAGACGGGGAGGAAGTGTAGGAGCGTTGCTGAGTGCACAGCTTGACTGTGAGACAAATCGACTGACACATCGCCCTCCGTCAGAGTGTGTGTGACTTTGTAGTGCGAAGTGTAAGTCAGGGGTCGTGCTGATCGCGCTGACCTAGCCTGGTGGTCGTTGCGTGGAGGCGACAGCGCAGCAGGTGGTGGTGGACTGGGGACAGTGGCAGGCCTAGGGGTGGGGGCATGGCCATGGGGGGGCCGCATCCCATCCTCCACCCTGCACCGGGACAGGCGCTGGGGCTGGGGGTCCTGGAGCACTGGCCCATCCAGGGGAGCTCCCAGACTCTCGGAGCTCAGGCCCTGGCTGAGCGGGGGAACGCCCGCAGCCACAGGAGGTGGAGATAGTACTCTGGGAGGAGGTGGGGCGGAGAAGGGAGGCAGGGGGAGATGCTCCCGCAGGGTCTGGGTTCTCCTTGGCTCCTTGGTCCTCATCTTCCTCACCTCGCTATTCTTCTCCGTCTCACTCCGTGGGGGTGTCGGTCTCAACTACCTGGAGCCCCCCGGGTGGGAGGAGTCGAGGCGGGTGAAGCTAGTGCCCAGCTACACGGGCGCACACAGGCTGTCAACACCTGACACCTCGCAGCAGAAGACGTGCGCCTGCTCGCACTGTGTCGGAGACCCTGGGGTTTCTGATTGGTTCGATGAGAACTACGACCCAGACATCTCACCTGTGTGGACCCGAGACAACATCCAGCTGCCCTCTGATGTATACTACTGGTGGGTGGTAAGTAACATTATGTTTTACCTTAACATGCTAGATTTAGACACAAATAATATAATATGATAAATGAAGAAGTAAGAACAACTTGACAAGCTGGTGGGGTCATGCAACCGCGAGGCAAACATTCTAGGAATTCTTTCACTTTAATGTTTTGCAGTTTAATTTCTCTATTTGTTAAAAATCTCCAAAACTGATCTTTTACAGGACCCATTGAAATGCATTTGCACGGATGACGTTATGAACAGTTTTTCTGATTTAACATCCACAACACACAAATAAGATCATGATTTTACAGTACTTTCTATAATTTTAGTATTCTTTTTACTAAATAGCAGCAACATCAATCACTTTCTAATGCAGAAGGGCACAGAGAAGAAAAGTTGGGTAGATAGATGGATAGAATCTGAGGGATGAAACCCTCTTTAATTGTCACATACAGTATACATGCACACAGCACACAGTGAAATTCAGTCTCTGCATTTAACCCATCCTAGTACTAGGAGCAGTGGGCAGCTATTGTGCAGCGCCTGGGGAGCAATGGGGAGTATGGGAAGTGGGGGGGGGGTTAGGGGGGTTGCTCAAGGGCACCACGGCAGGGCCCGGGAGGTGAACTGGGTACATACAGTTGCAAGAAAAAGTATGTGAACCCTTTGAAATACCTGGATTTCTGCATAAATTGGTCATAAAATGTGTTCTGATCTTCATCTAAGTCA